GAGCCACCCAGGCGTTCCTTTTTTTCTTTCTTTTTAAGAGAGCAGAGGGAGGGGCAGAGAGAGAATCTTAAGCAGGCTCCATGCCCAGTGCAGAGTCCAAGGCGGGACTCTGAGATCAAGACCTGAGCCAAAATCAAGAAGTGGTCGCTTAACTGACTGAGCCACGGAGGTGCCCCTCTGTTTTATTGATAGTAGCCATCCCAGTGGGTGTGAGGTGGTATCCCATTGTAATTTTGATTTGCATTTTTCTAATGATTAGTGATGTTGAGCATCTTTTCATGTGCTCCTTGGCCATTTGTATATCTTCTTTGGAGAAGTGTCTACTTTGGTCCTTTGCCCATTTTGAATTAGGTTGTTTTTTTTTGTTGAATTTTAGGTAGGGGTTCTCTCTATATTCTGAATATTAATCTCTTCTCAGATACATGATTTGCAAATATTTCTTTCATACTGTGGGTTGCCTTTTTGTTCTGGATAGTCTTTTTAATTTTTTGTTGTTAAAAGGTTGCATTTATTTATTTTATTGAGCTCTATTTGACATTGTATTAATTTTGGGCATACAACATATCTGATATGTGTATATATCATGAAATGATCACCACAATAAGTCTTGTTAACATCCATCACCACACACAGTTAAAATTTTTCTTTCTTGTAATGAGGACTTTTAAGATTTACTCTCTTAGCAACTTTCAGATATACAGTATGGTATTATTAACTGCAATCATGTGCTATACATTACATCCCAGGACTTGTTATATAACTGTAAGTATATACCTCTTTACCCTGACCATCTTCACCTGTTTTGCCCCCCGCAACCCCCGCAACCACCAGTCCATTACCTGTATCTATCATTGTTTTGTTCTGTTTTGTTAGATTCCACATATAAGTGAGATCACACAGTATTTGTGTTTTTCTGTCTAACTTATTTTGTATAATGCCCTCTAGGTTCATCCAATTGTGACAAATTGCAGGATTTCCTTCATTCTCGTGGCTGAGTAATATTGCATTATGTATATAAGGAATAAGTGTATTTTCTTTAGCCATTCATTTGTCAGTGGACACTTAGGTTGTTTCCATATCTTGGCTATTGTAAATAATGCTGCACTGAACATGGGGTTGCATATATCTTTTCACATTAGTGTTTTCGTTTTCTTTGGATAAACACTCTAAAGTGGAAATGCCGGATCATAAAGTAATTCTCTATTTTTAATTTTTTGAAGAACCTCCATACTGTTTTCTAGAGTAGTTATACCAGTTTACATTCCCATCAAGTTATACCAATTTACATTCCCTTTTGTTCCACATCCTTGCCAACACTTGTTATTTCTTGTCTCTGAGATAGCCATTCTAACAGGTGTTAGGTGATATCTTATTGTGGATTTAATTTCCCTAATGATAGTAATGTTGAGCAACTTTTCATGTACCTGTGGGCCATCTTCTTTGGAAAAATGGTCTGTTGAGATCCTCTGTCTGTTTTTTAGTAGGATTGCTTTTTTCCTGTTGAGTTGTGTGAGTTCTTTATATATTTTGGATTTTATTAGCCCCTTATCAGAAAGATGATTTGCAAATATTTTCTCTCATTTTTGTAGGATGTCATGTGATCCTTTTGTTGATGGTTTCCTTTGATGTGCAGGAGCTTTTCAATTTGATGTAGTCCCACTTGTTTATTTTTCTTTTGTCATCTTTATTTTTAGTGTCAGATCCAAAAAATCATTGTCAAGATGATGTCAAGTAGCTTATAGACTTTGTTTTCTTATGGGAATTGTATGGTTTCAGGTCTTATGTTCAAGTCTTTAATCCATTTTGAGTTGGTTTTTTGGTATGGTGTAAGAAAGTGCAGTTTCATTCCTTTGCATGTGGCTCTCCAGTTTTCCCAACATCATTTATTGAAGAGACTGTCCTTTCCCCACTGTGTATTCTGGGCTCCTTTTTTGTATATTAATTGACCATATAAGCACGGGTTTATTTTGGGGCACTCTCTTGTGTTGCATCAGTCTGTTTTTTTATGCCAGTACCATATTGTTTTTGACTACTATAGTTTGTTTTGTTTTTTTTTTTAAGATTTTATTTATTTGACAGAGAGAGACACAGCGAGAGAGGGAACACAAGCAGGGGGA